TATTGTGAATAGAGCTGCAATGAACATTGGAGTATAGGTATTCCTTCGACTTGATGATTTCCATTCCTTTGGATATATTCCCAGCAGTGGGATAGCTGGGTCATATGGTAGATCTATCTGCACCTGTTTGAGGAACCTCCATACCATTTTCCATAGAGGCTGCACCATTTTGCAGTCCCACCAACAATGTATGAGAGTTCCTTTTTCTCCACAACCTCGCCAGCATTTATTGTTCACAGTCTTTTGGATTTTAGCCATCCTAACTGGAGTGAGATGGTATCTCAGTGTAGTTTTGATTTGCATTTCCCGGATGCTGAGTGATGTTGAGCATTTTTTCATATGTCTGTTGGCCATCTGTATATCTTCCTTACAGAAATGCCTACTTAGCTCTTTTGCCCATTTTTTTATTGGGTTGCTTGTTGAATTCTAACGTTACACCTTACCAATTGTGTTCCTTTCCATCCTCAGTAAACATAAGATCACTAAAAGCTTTATTAGAATACATAAACTCTTAAATGATAAAAGAGCAGTCATAAACAAATTATAAATTAGGATTCATTCAAATTTGCTTAAACTTTTTTTTTCATGAGACAATCTCAGTGCCAAGTAAAAAGAATACCTGCTGTTGAATAAAATATAAAACATTTATTTTTCTTGAAAATTATTCGATATTGCTCTGGGAGTAAACATGACAGCTAAAATATTTTAAGAGCAGTTTTTAGTAATTTAATTTATAGATAAAAATTCAATTAACAACTTATAGGATGAGCTGAAAAATCCATTTACTATCCCTTCTCTGAACTGTGCTATACAAAACTTTTCCACAGCATTAGAATGAAAGATATGAATTTTCAGAAGTGACAGATCTTAAAATAGATTGATATGACACACCTACCTAAAATCAGATGCATTCTGTCTTTGTTAATTTCTGGCAAAGATTTAGCATTAGCCGTTGCTCCTGATGCCTGGTTTAAATTGACAGATGTAGAACGTTTTTGTGAACCAGATATTGCTGCTGCTTCTGTGGAATCTGAACATGTAAATCCTGTGCTATTTAACCAAAGTGCCACTGCGTGGAGAATTGGGGCCCAGGAATTCCGATAGTGAAGTCTAGCTGTATCAATAGTCTCAGGAGTATAAAATGCTCCACCTGTAAAACAATCAAAAACATTACATTCTATAATAGGTGTTCACTCATTTATGAACAACTAACTTAAAAATATCTGTTACATATAAAAGAGTAAACTGGTCAAAAAGCTTCTCCTCTTTACAAAGCCACCAAAACTAACCACTTTCCTGCAGCTGCTGAACTAGAATGCCCATCTCTTCCTCATTGATGCTGGATTTCCATCCTTTCCTCTGCTACTATTGATGCCACTAAATATCTGCCACTAAATATCCTTACCTTTCCTACCCTGTTGTCACAGGAATTTACCTAGTCATTGTCAATGGCTCCTAAAACCCTTATCACCTTCTCTTTCCACCATAAACAGGTAACTTTGTCTCTTCTTTCTGTTTGTCTCCTCTTCTGCTATTCCTCCCCATCTCCTGTTTCCACTACCAGTACTGAGGACTTCCTTATCTCTCCTTGCTGTCATGATGGATTAAGAAAGGAAAAAAAAAGGGGAGAACTCCGTTATCGTTATCATTAATATATGGGAAGAGGAATGGATTCTTTGACTAGGGACTAATAATACATTTTCTAAATAGGAAAAATGTTAATGATAATTTCTATATTTATTTCAATAGGAAAACTATAGTACAAACAAACAATTTGCAAAGGTCTTTAGCAACATCATTCATGAATGAGGAATTCATATGAAAATACATACATTGACCACTACGGCAATCTACTTCATCATGAATACGCATAATTATTTGTTACCATAGTTACTTAGGGTATCACTGTAACTCATACAGCTATTACTGTAACAGTACTAACATTTGCTTCAGCTAACAAGAAAAGCTTTATGCTTTATCTTGAATCCACAAATCACATGGAGAACATGCCCTAAATGAGACAATGTCAATTTTAAGTCCACAGAAATTTAAGATATTATTGTTACTGTTGTTGCTAGCCTCTACCAAGTGTTTAATTATTACTTTGAACTCCATAAAAGCAAAACTCCAAATGCAATACTTACCATCTACGGGGAGCTGACTTGCAAATTCAGCTGGTAAAGTCAAAAGTGCATAATCTTTTAATGCTGCCAACCACAGGCGGCTGAGTGTTGGCAGTTCAGGTTGTACCAGTGTTATTAAACTATCTGGTGGTAGTTCATCTATGGTACCATAGTCGTCATCATCATCATCAGTATTTTTAATTGCTCTTTTTGGTTTGGATTCTGCTTCCTTTTTAATATTCATAGCAACCACATACACCTAATAAGATATTCAGGAGGAGAAAATAACGGAGCATAAGATAAGGTAATTGGGTATAGATATTAGAAAGTATACAACTGCATGATTTCCTGATAACCACAAAAGAGTAATTCTGCCTGCTTTGAAGGTGATTTTTTTACTATCTGACTTCTGACTATTCCTGTCACAGCATATTCATTGAGCAGACTTTCTGAGTGTTTTCCGGCTTCCCTTGTTCTACTTTACAAAGCCCCCCTTTTGGCCTTTTTTTTTTGCCAAAGGGTATAACTTCCTGTTTACTGCCTCCACTTTCTTAGACTTATTAGACACAATCAAATGGCATTCAAAGAAGAAAGCTGAGAGGGGGAAGGTGGACAGAAAAGGGATTTCCAAAAATATCCTTCTAAACCCATTCTTACATAGTCCTTACATGATATTTAGCAATCTAGCATTTACAACAGATAGCACTTACAACAATATAATTTTCTGGTTACATATATTATCTGTACCCTTTCTCTCTAGTTCGTGAACCAAAAAGACATATAATAGCAACTTTCCTAAACATAATTGTAAAGATTCTTTTTTGTTGAGTTATACTTGTTTGCTTTCCTTTGTTTTTGAACATATATTTAGGTTTTGGCAACTGGCACATACGAAGCTGAATAACATATTAATGAAAAAGCAAAAAATAAATAAAGGAATGAACAAAAACCAAAAAATTACAATAGGTAAAAATCTTGAGAAAACTGCTTTCCCCTTAGAGAGTGTTATTTCCTTTGTAACTAATGAGGAAGTCTATGTATCTGTATAAGTATACTATTATAAGCTTCTTGATGGGAGGGAGTGTGTCTTATCTCTATTCCTACACTAAGGAGACAGTTACAGCACAGAGAAAGCATACAGTAATTGACTGAGTTCTAAAGTATAAGTATACTATTATAAGCTTCTTGATGGGAGGGAGTGTGTCTTATCTCTATTCCTACACTATGGAGACAGTTACAGCACAGAGAAAGCATACAGTAATTGACTGAGTTCTAAAGTGATAAATTTGGATCTCAAGTTGTAAATATTTCACATTCATATTTTCTAGTGGTTTTAAGCTAGCTTTTCCCCCCTACATTTTTTAGTTATGCTGACATTTTTAAAAAATTTCACAGTAAGCACTATAAGTATATTCAGCCATTCTTCACTCATCAGATCCTTACTAGGTGCTTTTGACTTGCATTTGTTATTGTGCTAGGCCCTGAGGCAACTGAGACAAATAATACATGGCTTTTGCTTTCCATAAACTTATAGACTAATATAATAAGGGAGTGAGAAAAGTTCTCAGAGAAGCAACTTTAAAAATTCGTTTTTAATAATTTACCTTCTCTGCTACACTCCATTCAGTGGCTAGGCACAGTGTCTGGCATCTAATGAACACTTGGCAGTTTGTGTAATGAATGAATCTCGGGAAGCACCAAGGATGGATGGATTTTAACCTTGGGAGTATGAGAAAGGCAAGGCAGAATTTTTGAGAACAAAAGTTAACTTGTTCACAGGTGAAGATGGAAAGGGACACTGCAGCAAGAACAAGAGCATAAAAATAAGAAACTGCATGGCATTTAAGGAAACTGCAATTTTTTAGTATAGACTGAGCACAAGATAGAGGGTGGAAGTACTTGAAGATTTTACTCTGTAGGCAATGGGGAAGGGAAGATGTCATTGCAGGATTTTAAGGTCACATTTTTATATTTTCTCAGCTTTTAATTTTATCTTAATAATTATGCTATAAAAAGTTTAGAAAATAAAAATTTAAAAATGACTCATCACGGGGCTGGCCCGGTGGCGCACTGCTACAGTGCGCCGCTTGGGAGCGCGGTGGCGCTCCCGCCGAGGGTTCAGATCCCACATACAGGCCAGTTCCCGCTCACTGGCTGAGCAAGGTGCGGGCGCGACACCGAGGGGTGTGATCCCGTTGCTGGTCCCAGTCCGGTATGGGCGTGACACTGAGGGTTACGATCCGTTGCCGGACACGAAAAAAAAAAAAAAAAAAAAAAAAAAAAAAAAAAAAAAAAAAAAAGACTCATCACAATTTCCTCATTTTCATAATCTGTCTTTGTAAGTAGTAATTTTGCTCTACATAAAATTTTGTATTTAATTTTATTGATTAACATATTATGAGGTTTTCCCATGTGAATACTAGTCCTCATAAACATTATTGTAATGACTTCACTGGATGTCCCATAATAAATGTAACAATTTCCCAACAGTTAAAATTTTATATTTACTTCTTTTTTTTTTTTTTTTTTTTTTTTTTTTTTTTTTTTTTTTTTTTTTCC